GAAAATGCTTTTCAGTGCTGCCGAAAAAAAAAAAAAAAAAAAAAAAAAAAAAACAAACAAACAAACAAACAAACAAAAACACCACGAAGTGGATAGGCGCTCGTTAAAACGTTTACGCTCGCTGTGGATTTTCAGTGGTAAGTACACTCTTAGAAAAGAGTGAGTGATTTTGCTTAGAGGGAGTAAAAATGGAGTTATCGATTTTACCCCCTAAAAACGAGAAAGTAAAATCACTTTTTTTCAGGGTACGAACGGAAGAAGGGGGTGTTCTTTTCCATCTCAAACAAAAAATTATGAATTATTCTCGGGAAAGAGAGTAGTTAGCATTGATACGCTTTTGGGTAATAAATTGCCTACTCCAGCTTTACTCTCTTTGAGCAAAATCGCTCACTCCTTTTAAGAGTGTACTGGTCATTTCTTTTCTTACGTATATAGATGCTTCTGAAAGCAGTGTTCATAAGCCATAAGTATTGTTCAGCACTTCCAATACCAGCCAAATAATTGAGATCGAAGAGCACTTTCGTACGAAAAGGGAATCTCCTTTGTCGCCGATTCATCCGAATTCATCCGGTTGTATTTGCCCTTAGTCGGTCTGTATCTTTCCGATAATTCTTTTTTTTTCTACTTTCAGTGCCAGCTTAGTATTTGAGACGCAATCTCCCTGAAGCAAGTCGAGAAATGCCGTACTTGTCCAAATCAAATTGGAATATTTCTCTCCCGACCGATTTATGTGATCTAGAGATTAAATACTTTCAGTACTTTCTTCACTAATGCAGTAATTTAGACTCATAACATGCACCCTAATGCCCCAGCACAAGTTCTCCTGAGCGGTATTCATCAGCATTAAAGCAGTTTATTTTTTCTCTAGTTCTGACTTTTGTCTTCTCCATAAAAAAAAGCACTCTCGATGCCTCCAGTACCAGATGACTACTCGACACCTGTACTCTTAGCGTTTTACTCTGAAAATGGGGTAACGAAACTGTTGTAATTTGTTACTCTTGAATAGGAGTAACCTACGGAGTAACATAGTGGAAAATCGCAGATAAAAGGTTACAAACTTGGAGTGAAAATTTTTGATGCACTAGTGTGTTCATGTAAAAGGAAATCAACCTTCTGAACTCCATCAACATCTCCGGTGGCAAATTTCCCTTGAACTGGATAATGATGTTGATGTTACTCTTGATGTTACGATTCTCGGAAATGTTTAAGTTCAGGAAGTAAGATTTATTTTAATGAAAAATCCAGTACAAATAAAAAATTTACATTCCAAGTTTGTTACCTTTTACATGCGGTTTTCCACTATGTTACTCCGTAGGTTACTCCTATTCCAAGAGTAACAAATTACAAGATTTCGTTACCCCATTTTCAGAGTAATATGTCAAAGAGTGTAGAAGAGGAGCGGCTTTTCCCATGAAACACAATGACAAAACTTTACAGGGAGACTTGAATTTTCAGTCCACGTCATGCGAGATCACGAGCCCGAGAAGCGGCTAGTATTTTTTTTTTTCATCGATAAGAAGCGGATGAGGGACCCAAAGAATGCGAACATCGAGAAACCAGTAATTGCATCATTCCCGGCTTCCCTTAAGCATGTCGGTTACGAAGAATTATCAGATGCCCGAGTCCGTCGACCATCGATATCTCTCGTCGAAATGCGAATTCCCGGATTCCCAGGCGATCGAGGGTGTCACCGTCGCATCCATAAGCATGGCCGAAAGACCCAGTTACAAGGGATTGAACTCGGCCTACGTGGGCTGCTTCAACGGACGTATATGGGACTCATTACGTGACGGGGGGAGTCGGGGATGAAATATTATAGCGATGGAGATGGAGTCGAGTCAAAGAGTTGACGGATTTTGTGTCAAGAGGTCTACTCCGTTCGGGCCGTGAACGTGTGGGTTGGCTCATGATGATAACGTTCGTCTGGAACTCGTCGTGGAATATGTTGATCTCTTCACCCTGCTCTCCATCTTTCGGATGACCGACATTCACCGGACTTTCTCAACTGGAAGCGTTTTCTCGTTGGGATTCTTTCGTCCCGTAGCCGGATATCGGTTGTAGTGAAAGTGAGTGAGTTCGTTGGCACCGGGTGGTAAGAGCGTGGACTACTTTTGCGTCTGTTTACATCTCGAATGCATCTCGTTGCGTTAGGGCGGGGGGTTGGGATTCGGGAAACAACATGTTGACCTCTGCGGCAAACAAATTTTCCCTTCCCTTTCGTCGGAGATCCGGGTTCAAGCGCAGGGGTGCTCCCCAAGTGAAAGCGACTTTGACCGACTTCCCCCGCACAAAGGCCATTCTTCTCGGGAGGACGAGGGGGGGAACACGAAGAAAAGCAGTCATAGTTTGTGCAGGATTATCCAACAGTTGAATGGAGCAGGGGAGGAAGAAAGAAAAAAAAAACCTGTTCCCGACTGACCCACAGGCCCCGTTCTCGTTGAAGGGTTCGACGAATAGATGAATGGCATAATATAGATATATATCCTCTTCGATGTCCTCTTCTTCACGAGAGCTCATTCACAGAGGAAAATCGACAGAGTATTAGAAACCAGGGCCGCATTCATCCGTTTATTACAAAAGAGTCGGCATCGTGTGTGCAATCCATAACATTAGAAATTAAATTACAGGTCACTCAATGATATAGGGATTTATATTGCCCGATTCTCGTTCCTTCTTCAGGTACGATCGGGTGAAGCATCGCACGCCTTTTTCTCTCTCTCTCTTCCTCTCTCTCTCTCTCCCCTCATCTCTTCTTAGCACTTATACTTGATACAAGTTACAAGGTAGGCAACAACAACAACTTCACGTGGCAATCAGCTGCCAGGTCGGATGAGATTCCCGTGTTTCTCCTTTGGAAGACTCCGTCTTATCTCGGAAGACGCTGAAGAGACTCGGCGTTGGGATCCACAGGGTCGATTCGACTGCCGTCCACGCCCTCTCCTCCGCACACGTAGATCCCGCAGTTCCGTCTCCTCACGGATTCCATGAACTCTTTGCGGGCCATCTGGAGCCCGTGGTCCTCGCGCGACTCCACTCTATAGAAAGAGGATGCTCGTGAATCGATCTGCAGGTGCTCGGATGTGTAATCTATGGGTTACTGACACACTTCGCGTCGAGAGAGAGGGAAGGGAAAGTCAAGCAAAGGAACCCTATTCATACAGTGAGAAAGGCGATTTTAATGACGGCCCGGAGACTTCATCTCATCTCGTTTCATGCTCTCGCAGATGACGTCTGTCGCAAGCTGGCCTCCGTTCTAGTTATCGTTTCCTTTTTTTCAATTACCTCTCTTCTCGAGATTAATTTTGACCTACTCTTTGAAAATTGCGGAGAGCTGCACTTTCCTCGATTTCATCCCCGTTGAGGGGGAAGTGTGTCGTTCACGGGGACTTGAGCACAATAATTAGGCACGGTGAAGTCGAATGACTAGTCCTGCCGACTCATTCATGCTTCTATTTGTTGTGTCTTTAGTGCTCCATTTACTCCATTATGCCAAGGGTCAAGGAGGCCATTATGTACCGAAAAGGTACGTTGTCTGGTCTCGTACTGTGTTTGTTCACAGTTGGGGATTTCTCGTCCTACTTTCCTCTTCACAAAACGCGAAAAAAAAAATCATTTCAGTTCGCGTCTCTTTTTTTCCTCCCTCGTTGAAGATCCTACTTCTACCACGGTTGGATGACGTTACGGTCTAAATGATTCAGTATCTAATCTGTATTGTTTGCGTCATTGTGGCTGGATCCACGCGTGAAAGAAGATAGAAAAAAGATACAAACGAATTAAATTACCAATTAAAAGGAATTGAATCGGGAGATAAATAGGAAAAAGAGTAATTAAAATGGAAGAGCCTGACTCACAGGGAGAAGAAGTTATTAAGTCGAAACTCGACGTCATCGAGTACATTGAAGGGAACTATGGTGAGGAGATCACAGACGACCCGTTGAGTGCAGGGGCTTTCCTTCCATTGGTCTGCCCCGTAATCGCTGATGCTGTTGAGGAACCCATGCGGATTCTCGATGCCCTCCAGGACGTTGCTGAGGAAAGAGGCGTCATCGGCCGATCGCTTCACCTTGGGCTTCACCTCTCCCTCCGTATCGGTTTCATTCCCTAGGGATTTCGCGGTGTCGGGCAGGATTTTTACTTGGTCGACGGATTTCCCCGACTTGCGGGTGACTTCCACTTGAATGTTGTTGAGGGCATAGGCACCCAGGCCGAGGGCACCCAGGGCCACAGCGCTTCCGACCAGAAGAGGCGTGGTGGGAGCTCCGACGACACCTGCCAATCGTTCGTTCAGCTGCTGCATGGGTTCGACGATACCGAGATTCTCAGAGATTCTTTGTCCAGCTTCCCTCAGGGGATCCATAACGGGTGAGACGAACTGTTGCCATTGCTGATAACGTCTCTTCACGAGGTTCCGGAATCGATTGCTCATCCTCTGGATCATGTTGTTCCCGTTATTCCCTTGCTGCCGGTAATTGTTAGGTCGACCCGGCTGGTAATAGCTCTCGTACTGGCTGGGTCCATAACCGAATCCAGACTCCGTATACCCGTATCCCTGGGCCTGGTCCTTGGGCACCGGGACTGGTACCGAGAAACTGGGTCCACCTGGTGCCCCCTGGAAGTTGTATTCGCGGAGAACGAAGTCACTTGGATCTGCAGGCCCGGCTACGACTCCCACGGGTTTCTTTCCGTCGTTATATTGATTGCTATACAACAAACCTCCACTCTGTCCCGTGTTTCCGTAGCCTTGCGAATCTTGATAGGCCGTTCCGTACGATGTTGCGTCTTGAGTGTTGTAGCCGTTGGTATCGGGATCGTAGAAGTTCTGAAAGCTGGAGTCTTGTTGTTGCAACGGACGCCCGTCACGTTTGCCCAATGCAGCATCTTGGTTCAATATCCTCGGTTGCCTGTCTCCTTCCCTGGCTTCGGGGAGCTCCCGAGCCTCTTTCACCCTGTTCTCAGCGGCTGCCTCATCCTCTTTGGTGAACAGTTCCCCGTTGATCACTTTGGCATTTCTCCACGTCTTCTTGTCGCTCTCGTCATCTGGGACCCGAACTCCCATGATGATGGGAATTCCATCGGGACCGACGCGAACGAGACGGCTCTGCCTATTGCTCCCGGCGTCCTTGATGGTCAGGGTCCCGGAGGTCACTACCACTTCGGGTGGCACCGGAAGGAGACTTTTCCCTTCCCGGCTCGACGGCTTCTCGTCTTCCTTGATCTCCTCGACTTTGGATTTGGATTCCTCCTCCTTCTTCTCCTCATCGACAGGCTTCCCCAGGACGAGGGAAACCCCCAAGATAAACAGCAAGATGATTCCCCGCTTCTGCATCTCTCAGCCTGTGTCATTCATGCAAAGAAAGCCAGGGAAAGAAACGTAATGAGAAACAGCTGTGCAGCACAGAATTCCTCTAGGTCGCGAGAACGGACAGGAAATCCGAGTTCTTCGCAGCTCTCCAATATTTTTTCTCCTCAAACAGAGGAACTCCCACAATGGAGCCTTTCATTGTGATCCGCACCGACGTGAACAGATGGGCCTTGTGACCCAGTTTCCGCATTTTATTAGTCCAGGAAGTCTCACGCTCGCGTGGGGCTAGGCCTGGAATAGACGACGAGGGGAGGCGATTTCCCCTGGCATTGAAATCTTACCGTTATGAGGTGATCCGCTCTAGAGATCCAAAAGGGAAAGGGCTGCACGGTAGAAACAAGAGAAAAATTACGTTTCCGCGTGTGAATCAGGAAAAGGGGAGAACCTAGTTGCTCAGTCACACTCTGATTCGAAGGATCTCCTTGTCTGTTGGTACGTGTAATCGGGGCCTATTGAGTCCGTGGACATGAGCATGGACACTGCCCCCAGGCTAAGGTCGAACTCACTGGACAACAGGAGCTAAACGTATCATTTCCCTAACGGGATTCACATAAGCACGACAGGAAGTCCCCGTACTTCCATTCTTCTCAAGCGCTTTCCATGCACCTCAACGCTCCTTTTAGACAATCTGACCGATTTGGTGTCTTAATTATCCTCGCGTAACGGAGTGGAATGAAGAGAGGGGACACGCACGGAAATCGTTCTGTATTTCTGGGTCGAATTCTTCTCGTAGCTGCAGCTGACCGACAGATGTTTTATGATCACGACTTCGTTGTAGTGCACTTACTGTCGTTACCAGACCATATAATATCTTTTTCCAATATAAATCCTTCGCACTTGGGTGCATTCTGTGACAATCCTTAAAGCGATTTCTCTTTAATGGTTGTAATCGTAGGGTAAACAAGGCCCAGATTCGAAAATCCGTATGAATCCCCATGAAATATGATTAGCCTTTTATGAAGAATTGGGGCCCACTGGGTCCACCCCAATGAGGCTCCAATTCTGAAACGTATAGCAGTATCTATTTTAGAATTCCAGTTGGAGATTTAAATAAACTTCATTCATTGGCATTGTCGCATTGGTATTGGTTATCATTGACACAGGATCAAACACAGCAGGAATGTACCTGAATCAGTTGGTTTTTTTTTTACAGGACCATAATGTTAATGCTGAGGTTCTCGATATGCTGCAGAAAGGTTGTTCCAATATTTGACTCATTCCCTTATAATCTGTAAACCGTTTGTAGACCGTTTGGAGAATAAACTCACCATTGCATGTCTCGGGTCTCAGATTCAAGAAACCGACAGATAACAGCACAAATTTCCTGAAAACGTGTGCATTATGAAGAAAAAAGGAAATCTCACCTGATAATCGTGTGGAGAATGCCAATCACTGTTGGAAATTCATTCAGGGTCTATACACTTTTTCGCTTCACTGAAGCCACCCAACCCACTCACTTCATATATTTAAGTGTTAGTTGGAATCCCCTGAGTTGTGTCCCGGCAGGAGCTAACGAGAGCTGGGAGAGAATGGAGCTGAAGGACTGAAAGCGGTGCTGGAGCCGGCTCTCACTTTTATAAGCCTCCCCGTGTCGGCCCACTTTCCTCCCGCTCACCTCACGAGCCTCTTCGCTATATCCCCCTGCCTTTGCCGATTCCCTATTCCGTTCCCGCCCGTCTTTCACGATCCCCTCGGCGAGTGCCACCTTCCTGCAATAAGGCCCACGGCCTTTGTTCGCGAAGGCATGCTCGGTCGTGTTGGCAATTTGGTACGGCGAGGGGTCAGCGCGGTGGAATTCAAAAGGGACTTTTGCCATTAGAACTGCATTTTCCATTGTTTGAGTAACTATGTAGTCATAAAAGACAAGGAAATACTTCGTCTTTGTTTATACTTCATCTCATGAAAATAAAAAATTCATTCATTTCTCTCATCTATATCCATGAAAAAGATACTTCAGATGCTCAAAAATATGGATCTTTCTTTGACTAAGGATTCGTGGGGTACTATGGGGGGGATACATCCATTACTTTCGTGACTGAACTTTAGAGTTTCATGAATTAACTATGTATAAGGATTTATGAATTCCATGGAATTACACTAAAAATAATTTTCTGCACGTCAAGCATTTTGGTACGACGTGAGAGACATCGACAATTGTGAAGATGCGTGACATCTAAGTTGTACTGGGGGGAACTTGACGCAGGCCAAGGACATAAATATCAAAGGCCATCTGTACGATATTCACAGGGTTTTATAGTGTGAATTTCGGAATTTTTAATTCCACTGCATTCAGAAATTGAGCAACTTCACACTTCATTCGGTGCGAACTTGGGGAGGAACGCAGAGAATAGGTAACGATGGGAGCCTGAGGATCCGGGAGTTGAAGTCTCTCCATGACCCAGAGCTGGGGATTTTCGGTTACATGAGACGTCGAGCCTCTTCGTGGCTTCCGCAGTCTTATCCGAGGGGTCGTCGGTTCCAAGAATCCGTCTCGGAGTGAATCGTGAAGCTGATGCATGGAGAAAGTGAAGTGGCTATGTTTAAAACGCAATCAGCATTCTGAAAGTCCACAAGCCACGTACTTTCTCTTTCTCCCTTCTCCTTCACCTTGACTGATCGTATGCGGATCCGGTTTAACTTTAACATTGCCCTCGGTTACGTGCCGTTTTCCTTCAGTGTCAGCTTGCATGACTCAAAGATAATATTTTTCTTTGGAGAATGTGCCCCAGATTGCCTGATGGGCGTACGTTCTTAATGCAGTTGGTGTGACTGCCGCCAAAGATCGTATATTTATCTGCCCTTTAGGGTGGGGAGAGGGCATCGCAAAGTCGGCTTATCGTTTTCGTCTCCCTCTAAGGACAATTATTGTGAAAGGAGATGGGGATTCCCGAAGAAGCATGAGAAACGAAGCCGGATAGAAAGTGCCACCCATCCAGGATATCCTCCTCTACACCATTGATCGTGACGGAGACGATTTTCCGATGTCTCTTCATTTGGTCTCATTACGCAAAAGAGTGCATCGAGATGGTTAGTGCGAGAGAGCTGTTTCGCCTTCCGCCTCGTAATCCGCGACAAAAGGAAAATTGAGACTGAAAATTCGACGCCCTGATAACTATATGTGACATTTTTCTCGCTTGGCGCCATTCACAATTGTATACACGTCAACGCTTCACTGAATGGCTTCTTCCATGCATCTTGGATTCGGGGACAGGGTCCGAGACCCTTAGTCAGAAATCTGGTACAAGCATGACGCGAAGGAACGCTCATCACGGCTACTCGGGCAGAAACAAAATCTCAGAAATGAGAATCTCTGTAGAGACTAACTTTGGCTTCGATGACAGTTAAGAGAGACTATCTCGTGCCTGATTCTAACGAGGTCTGTGTAATCAGACTAGATCCGAGCTGGGTCGCACAAAGGAAACAAAAAAGCGATATCAGTTATGCGTCCACATTCCAACCATCCCAAGTGTCTCGTATCTTTTTCCCCGATTGATTCTTTGCACTCATGTAATTATGGGGCACCTTAGAGGATGCAAAATGTGAACATTGAACAAAGCTTATTTTTTCGGAGACGTTCCTTCTGACCGGTTTTTGTGCGATTTCAAATTAGGAGCTAGCCCACTCTACTTCACTCGTATCCCCATTCGATCCGAGAACAATTGGCATGAGGCTCGAGCTCGAAGAACCCGTCGAGGATGCGAAGTGGATCCTCGATCGGGGGGGGATCGAGGATCCACTTCGCACTTCGTCACCTACTACCTCGATCCTCCGTGGAGGCTAGTCACGAGTCATCCTGGATCTGACACAAGAGCCGCACATGTCTCGGCTCCTGTGGGTAATTGTATTCATCTGGGGACCGAAGCGGCACATGGGCTCGATTCTTTTGATTCCAAGTTCCACATTAACTTTCTGTCCTCAAAATGTTCTTAGTGTGGTAGGGGACTTTTTTTGACGCAGGAGTTCATTAACTCTTCCTATCTCGAATTATTTTCAGCTAAGTACAGCTAATATTAATTACTGTATTAATCGGTATAGTTTACATTTGGTGACTGTATCTGGGTGGATCCTTTGCAAGAGTCTCGTGAATGACTCCATGGGAGCGGTGCTTGTAAATTGATTAAACTTCGTATTCGTTGGCACGTTCCACTTGGGCACAGAACGAAAGGATTGATAAGGGGAAAGAATAAAACAAAATGAATAAATTAAAGATTTATTTGGGTGGAGCAGAAAGAAAAAGATGCGGACCCTCGTGGCATCTGGAAACGATCCAAATCCAAACCTTTCATCTTTCGGTGTTGTTTTATCCCTCCGTAACCAAGATTAATTGGGTCGGTGGGTTGATGAATGTACCGGAATCAGAAGAGCATGAAGAGGTCTCTTTTTCATTCGGGACACCCTTTGCTACCACTAGAAACCTCACGGGGAGTAAAACGAAACGTGTCAACAAGTCGGTTGTTTCCCCCGCCGGAGCCGATGAAAAGAGCAAGTGACCGCATGTGAGTTGCGAGTGACCGCCTTGCTCCCCGGACCAGAACACCACCGAAACATCTCTCACGGTTTTCATGCGGGGGCCCAGTTGATGAAGGAAAATGGCATGCCCCGAATTTCCCTCTCTTTTATTCGCTTCGGATTCCGGCCCACTTGTGGCCGACCGATAAGTCCCGGGGTTTGTCTCCTGATCCATCATCATCCCCCTCCTCTTGTCATCTTGTCAGTCGTTACGATATCGCTCCGCCTGTCTTTTGTCAGACTCATTACGGATGTATGGATTTCCTCTTGCCCCATTTATGAGACCTTTTTATCCCCGTCTTTCTTCTCTCGAGAGTCGGTCGCCGCTTCGTGGGTCACACGTCTCATTATAAAAGTTTCGCGTGCAGTTATCACGCGGAGAGAATGGAAACGTCGTGAGATGTCCTCGGCTCCCCTCGAATACCCCTAATGCATTTGGAACGGGAATTCGCCAT